TCTTCTTTTGTAGCAGGCAGAAGTATGAAAATAATGGAGCACCTGTAAATGGAGTCTCTTCATTAAGCAGCAGGTCACCCTTTCTCGCTACCATATTAAGAGTATACATTATACTGTTCCTGGAAACATCTGCTTGACAAGCCCCTCTAGGGTCACCCTTTGAACATAACTCAGAGCACATCTTCCCTTGATGGCAAAAATAAACTACAGCCTAAAGCCACATGACATTTTCCACTAGATATCAATATTTTCCCATGTGACATTTAGGAGATCCTAGGCAACCAAAAAAATACCAGCTGCCTCTGCGGTTGTTATATGCATCATTACTGCTCTTCTCGTTCCATATTGTTAGAATTCACCTAAGTGATATTAATATTGTTCATTGGAGTGCTCCTTTCTCTTATGTTAGTTCAGGATTTTCTTCCCAAGTCCTTTTGTTCACAAATGTGCAAGAAAATAGCCAGGCAAGGGGGCAAACCTACACAGAGAACTGGAAGAACTTCTCCGTCACGTTCCAGAGGCTGTCTCCATGCATAGTTCTTCCAGCTGTCACGGCACAACTACAGCTGAATCGATATGCACACTTGGGTGACGGGTCCTAGCCCTTTTGTATTCCTCTCTGTCATGGAGGGTAGAGATGCTGCTCTTGAAAGAAAATTCTAGTTATTTTAAAATTTACATTTGTAAAAGTTTCACCTCATCGTTCCTAATATTTTTCTGCTTCAAATCCATCCATGGGGCCCTGTAGAGGTTAACAGACTCCAGGCTAAGACCCCTTACCAGTGGCTCCCAACCTTCTGGCCCTTTAAATACAGTTCCTCATGTTGTGACCCAACCATAACATTATTTCCATTGCTACTTCATAACTGTAATGTTGCTACTGTTATGAATCATGATGTAAATATCTGATATGCAGGATGGTCTCAGGCGACCCCTGTGAAAGGGTCGTTTGACCGCCAAAGGGGTCGCAACCCACAGGTTGAGACCGCTGCCTTAGACTATAGTGACAGCCTCCATCACTTTCAATATGACCTGGGAATGAGAGAGCACTCACTATCTCATTACAAAAGTGAAACTTCATATGATTTACTTAAAATCTCTGAGAGTTTCCTCCAACATTACTTGCGGGCAAATAATGAGTCTCCATCCTTTTGTATTTCAAAAGATGTCTAAGAAAAGGGGATTTTTCTCATGTGGAGCC